GTCAGGGAAGGAAGAGCTCTCTACAACGGGCCCTTCTGTTCGCTTTGTATTTAGTACCTTTCAGTGTCTCTGATATTTCTGTGGTCCATAATATGCGCAGTCAACCTCTAGGTATGTTACCGCTGTATCTGTATAATATTGCTACCTGCGGTGCCCTGTCTGATGCCAGTCCTATTAAATGGCCAAACCATTTGATTTTTTTGTCTACCTATAATGTTCAGCATTGGTTCTGTGTCAACTCTCCTTCTGATATCCTCCTTCCTAAGTCGATGTTTCCTTGCTACACCTAGCATAGTAAGTAAACATTGCATTTCTGTCGTGACTTTTTTCCTTGTTTTCTAAAGACAGTGTCCATGTTTGACATTGATAGCATAGTATTGGTAAGAATGTTGTGTTGAACAATGTTCTTTTAGCGCTCATATTAACATGCTTGTATTTCAAAATTGGTGCCATTTGGCATAAAACTTGATTGGCTTTTTTCACCTTTGCTGGATGTTTTTAAAAATTAATTTTTCCGTCTTCTGAAAAAAAAAAAGCTCTTAAATGTTTTAACTGGTGTTCATCAATTTTGATACTGGTGGTCCTTCCTTTTCTGGAGAATGTTATCACTTCTGTTTTGTCTACGTTATCTTCATATCATAGATGTGGTATTCTCAATGGAGCTTTCAAAATGCTTTATTATAATGCAACTTTCAAAATGCTTTAATTAATACGCAACTAACATTTTTCACAGTATTCCTAAGTTAAATATTACAGAAGTTTGTTTTAGCTTGAAGAAATATAATCAGCACACACCTGGAGGAAGATCACACAAAAGATCAAACAACAGCAACCTTACAGAAATTAAGAGTCTAGCACTGGAATGAGTAGAGAGGAAATCCTCATATACCCCAGACTTCCAGTGAAGTATATGAATGATAAGATAAAGAAAGGGGAAGATGAGAAGAAAGGGGGAAGAAAGAGGAATTGGGAATAACAAAGAGAAGAAGAGTGGGAGGAAGAAGAAATGTAAGTCAATACTAAACGTCTTAAACTGAATGCTGACGGCTTGATCACAGTACCATAGTGTGAAATACTATGGATGTTAAGTTAAAGCCAAAAAGATCCGCTTCATTGCACTAGGTTTTTATTCCATATGACTCAGTCTCTCTCTGCAGAACTGTTAGCTGCTTACTGAGAACATCACAACAAAGCACAGACTCCACAGCTCTAGCGTTTGCTAACAGGGATCTCCAGAACAAAATACTGCACTTGTGAACTCAACTTTCTAGCCATAAAATGAACCCATGACCTTCAGAGCGCGAGGCAAACCGCTTGACCACTTTGCCACTGGAAACCACTACTATGAATGTTAGCTTACGCTGAGTACTAATCATCAACCATAGTACTTACTCCTTTGTCCGAGAAGGCTACCCGTCCAAAATACGCTTGCAGAAGTCAGATATGTCAGCTGAAAGAGGCAAATATCGCAGCTATGCTGAAAATGGGCACAACACATTTATATCTTCAATGCAAACAGAAGTACTCCTTTATGAAATACCAATACTGGTGGGTAGTATTTATTAGCTTACAATGGCTGCCCAATTTTTCCACCACTGTACCTCCATGATCCATGTTTAGATTTCAGATTTATTAATTTTGTTTATGAAAAGAAAGGACACTGTAAAGTAAAAGTAAGTAGAGAATCACCTTCAGTAATACTAGGCATATAGGGTGAGACCTACATTGTATAGACCAATCAAGACTTGGTGGGTGATTTGGTCAGCATCATGCCGGCCGCTTTTACTTCACAGGACTTCACCTGGTACCCACTCAAAGCTGGGTCCACTGGTCATTCTGAAATCTGACTGTCAGGACAGCACCTGGTACCCACTCAAAGCTAGGTCCACTGGTCATTCTGAAATGCGGCTGTCAGGACAGCACCTGGTACTCACTTAAGGCTGGGTCGACCTGGCATTTTGAAATAACAAATAAATGTTCATGTCTGTTGAAGTGAACATCATAACACCATGAGGTAGAAGAAGCTACAAGTTATCTCTGGGTCAGAATGGGTTAATGTAGCACCTGGATGTAGCACAGAGAGTTGAGAAAAGTAATCATGTCAGTAGAAACTAACATGTGCATAGTAAGCTGCTTGGTAGCAAAAGAGTTTATGTGACATCAATGGTCATATTTTTTTAAATTACTTTTTTTTCTCCCCTTCAGGACTACAGCCAGAAAGATTCCACTTTTGGGATGCAAATTCTAACATCAAAGATTCCACTCATGGGATGCAAATTCTAACATCAGCAAATGCCATACACTGCGAAACCATATAAAACAGTTACAGTGGCCCTACCCTGAGGTTACAAAGTAACCTGCTGGCCTATGAGTAGTGGGGCATGAAGAAAGGGGTTACGAATAAGTGAGCCATAACAGTGGTGATGTAAGAAGATAGCAGGGATGATGAAAAACACAAGTTATCATTAAAGGTATATATGTATTTATGTGTATGTGTATGTGTGCGCGCGTGCACACACGCACACACACAAAGATGAAAGGTAACAGCATTCACTGAAGGTAATTAATTACAAAGATAAAAGGTAAAGTCAACACTGAAGGTAATTAATTACAGATGAAATTTAACCACCCCCACTGAAGGTAATTAATTACATAGATGAAATTTAACCATCCCCATTAAAGGTAATTAATTACATAGATGACATTTTACCACCACCATTGAAGGTAAAAAATTACATAGATTAAATTTAACCACCCTACCTATGTACCAGTCCTGACCTATGGGTGTGAGCCAAGGGCAATGACAACAGCTCACAGAAGCCAGCTGCAGGCCTCGGAAATGAGATATCTGAGAAAGGTGGTCCAAGGGACAAGAAGGGACAAAGTCCGCAATAAGATAATACGTCAAGATCTTGATGCCCAGTCCTTACAAACCCAAGTGGATCAGTCACAGTTACGATGGTCTGGACATATATGCAGAATGGGAGAAAATCGGCCACCATGGCAAGCATGGGAGGCTAAGAACTAGGGAACCAGACCTCCAGGATGAGCCGGTGTGCGCTGGGAAGACAACATCCGACGGTCCCTGACAGAGGACTGGAATGGAACAAAGCCAGAAAGAAAACTGCTGATAGAGACGTCTGGCAATCCATCTACACCCCAAGGTAGAAGAGGAGCGACTAAGTAAGTAAACTTAACCACTCCCACTGAAGGTAATTAATTACACAGATGAAATTTAACCACCCCCACTGAAGGTAATTAATTACATTGATGAAATTTAACCACCACCATTGAAGGTAAATAATTACACAGATGAAATGTAACCACCACCACTGAAGGTAATGATTTACATAGATGAAATGTAACCACCACCACTGAAGGTAATGATTTACATAGATGAAATGTAACTACCACCACTGAAGGTAATGATTTACATAGATGAAATGTAACCACCACCACTGAAGGTAATGATTTACATAGATGAAATGTAACCACCACCACTGAAGGTAATGATTTACATAGATGAAATGTAACTACCACCACTGAAGGGAATTAATTGTAAAGATGAAAGGCAAATGTGTGTGCTGATTAAAGGCAGATGAACTTTTGGTTTAAGGCACATGACCGCTCTCATTAAAGGCATTTACTAGCGAAGATGAAAGGTACAAAACTGTATCAACAAAAGGTATGTTACCGATTATTATAGGCACATAGCTGTGATGATAATAAATACATAACTGGTATAATTTAAATATTTTTTTTAAACAGTATGCAACTGTGACGATTAAAGCTGTGATGAAAATATCTGTCTTTTAGGTGCCAATCATCATTCAGGTGCCCTCTCCACAGTGGAGGTTGGCTGCAGTGGATCTCCAACACACTCTATCTCTTGTCCTGGTTGTACATTCTCTCAGACTGCTGCCCGTCCATCCTTTGATTTTGTCCTCTCACTTGTATCTCTTGCCTACCTCTTGCCTTCGACCCTTTCTTCCAGTATGGCTTTTTTAACGTGTCATCTCCTTTAATGTGGCTAAAGTATTTCAATTGTCTCATTTTTATTTATTTCAGAAATTCTCTTTCTATTTGTATCCTTTCCAGTATCTCTGTACTGGGCTGTTTTTGTTTCCATAAAATACGACCTGTTCTTCTCTATACCCACATCTCCAGAGACTCAGTTCCATTTTCTAGTTGCTTGGTCATTGTCCAAGTTTCTGCACCATTCAGTAGGACTGAGTATACATTTGCAGATACAACATTTGAAGATTCTCATTTTTAGTATCTTGTTTATCTCTCTAGTTACCTTTTATGACATGCTTGGGGACGGCGGCAGTGGGTCAACACCGCCCCCCCCCCCCCACCAACTGAGACACTGGAACCCAGACAGGGGATTGTGTACTTAAATAGAGCAATCCACTGAATAACACATACTTATAGATCAGCAACAATTTGAACACCTTTCTTATAAACAATTATAAATATGAATCTGCTATAAATTCAGTATCAGGTAGATACGTGGCAGGTCTATCTTTCCAAGAACCAAAATATCTGGAATAATTTTCTGCCATTTGGTCATCAGAATTAAAATGTGCCTAAGGTATTCCCTAATAATAGGAGATTTTAAGTAGATGAATATTAGAAATTGATAAATAATATAAATATTGCGAAAATAACAAAAGAAATTGATAAATAATAGCACAAATAATGGAGAAATTAAACAAAATTATAAAAAATACTGGTAAAATCCATAAGGTATGAACTAGCAGAGCACAGGGTGGTTTTTCTGGTGGAGTGTGATAGAAGTGATGTTTGCCAAAGCGTGTGCAACAAATGATAACAGTAACCAGAGACAATAAAACTATAATCCTACATGAATGAACAAATGAGAAAGGAAGAAAAAAGCATGTTATAAAACGATCAAAAATAAATACAAAACATTAACGTGCCTCTACACCCTTGGGTGAAAGGAGAAAGACAATTCAAGGAACCAAAAACATGTGACATTACTTTTCAAACATAACCAGATCTACTTTGTCCGCCACTCTCTTACATCCTGTTTGGGAGATCTGAATGTCACCAAACGAGGAGATGCTCAACTCTTCAAGCACTCTCTTCACTGTCCCTAGATCTGTTGAAAACCTTTTGGATACCAGATCTTTCTTAATGCACTGAATCACATGTTCTCTCTCCAAAGGCAGAAATGGTACATATGCATCAATCAACTGTGTGTCTGTCAGTTTTGAAGCCCAGTCATTGAATTCTGAAGTAAAGACTGAATGAAAGTGTTCCTGAGATATTTCCTCACGTTTTTTTGTGGGTGAATCCAGGAGAAACTTCACAAATATTCGGTTGATATCACTGCCGTGGGTGTTGGACAGCAGGAGAAAAATGGTCGGACTTGTAGACGAACACGGCCGAGTCAGTTCTTTTATGGACGCCACTAAACCTTCAATCACTTTAGGGAAGGCCTTATCTACTTCGTCGACGACAACGATGTTAACCTTGCACTTACTAAAATTACCCAGAATCCACTCCTGTATCTGCAGACGATACATATCTTCAAAAGCCTGATGGGGAAAATTATAAGGCACTACATAATTCATAACAGTAGAATACTGAAATGCTTCAGAAATAAATTTGCTAATATAATTCTTGCCAACACCTGTCCAGCCATCAAATGAGAGAACCAATGGTTTGCACCATTTTACATTTTCTGATTCTTCTGCTGGCACATCTTGTGGTAAACTGTTGTCATAGAATCTGCCGAAGTATTCTTCAATTTTATCTGGTACAATTTTCGTTGCAAGGTGTTGTCCAAAAACATTTGCTTCAAGCTCAATTTTTAAAACCTGCTTATTGAAATGTCTGCTAATTTTACAATTCTCAGTGCTATTAAGTGTTCCAAAGTACACAATGACCAAAAATAGCAGTAATATTATTAAAATTGACATGGAGATGAAGCATAAAGAGCATCTTTTAGAATCACTCTTTGGTGACACCGGATCATCTTGATTACCATGTGAATGATTGCCCTTGTGCTTCTTGATACCAGGAGGTGAAGAATTCAGTTGGATCTGTTTTGCCTCTGAAAGTTTGTCATCAACATGAAGTCTTTGCCTTATGGAAGAGTTGATTTCAGGAGGTTGGCTATTTACTGCTCCACAGACAGTATCATCAGTGGTATCTGTATATCCAGCTTTTGTATTTTTGAAACGAGAAGTGGCGAGAACGGCACTGGCAGCAGGTTTCAAGGACTTTTTGAAATCATAGCACACCGATGGCATGCTCTTGCTTTTCTGGCAAGGATCTGATGTAGGTTGCAGAACACTTCTTTCAGCACTATGGTGTGCATAATTATCTGTGTCGTCGCTAAAATTATTAAATGACAGCAGCGATTTCAAAGCCTGGTTGATATGCTCAAATGATGTTGATGACTGTGCTGTCGGAGAGCTTGGGTCTACATCCATATCGGACAGATCTGACTGGTTACCTCTGCCTTTCGCACAAGGCTGAGGCGTGCAGGGTCTGCTGTTGAATCCAACATACTGCCCATCACTTTCAAAGTCCATGTCCTCCATAATAATCACAAGGATTAGTTCACCAATCTGTCAATAAAAAAAGGAATGAATTACCGACACAAATAAAGCAAAAACCATGCCATGGCAGGAGGTACAGTAACTGGATGCTTGCCTCCTGACCCATAATTCTTGGGTTTGAATCCGCACTGAGGTGGATTTTTGAATAACTGACTGACGGGGGTTCATAGGTTGAGCCAACTAAAATTCATTCATTGTTCTGTTGTGCCGATATATGTCACTTAGAGCTTGCAATCTATTCCTCCATTCCATTCTATCCTGTGCAATCACTTTTATATCATGAATGGAATCCAGTCCTGCACCTTTAGTTTCTTTCTTCAGCTTTCTCCTCAGGGTTTCTCTTGGCCGTCCTTGTTTGGCCAGTCTCTTTATTTCTATTTCAGTTCCTGTCTAGTGATTCTCTCTCCGTCTCTTCTCAAAATGTGTCCAATATAGTGCCATTTTCTCTGACTTATAACTGTTAATACTAGCCTTAAATAGGTCAACTAAAAATATTCCAGGAAGTAAAGACAGTCAGTGAGATGATCAAGTCCATAACATAAGCACTATAAGCCCAATGGGCCAATGGTGAGAAATGAGTCCTTCATTTACATAAATGTCATAGCAGATTTATGTTTATAAATTGCAAAAACCATGCCTGTCTATTGGGAATATGCCCATAAAAAAAAATTAACTTGTTAAAAAGAACTGATTTGTCCACATAGGTAAACAATTCAAATTTTTGGGGTCTGCCATTTAAAAAAAAAAGTGGGGGGGGGGGGGGGGGGGGGGAGAACTGGTGGTGACAAAAGTTGGAGGAAAAAGAAGAGGCACAATGATATCAACAGAGATGTTGGACATTTTGGCATTTGCCGAAATTATTTATCAGAAATGGCTGACACACACGAGGCAGAAGGTTATGAATATATGACCATCATCACTAGATGGCATGGACTATAAAAGGTAGTCTTCTTCTTCTTCTTTCGTTCGCCTGAAATAAGTTATCTACATCAGCAGTTTTGTCTCTTGTATAAATTTCACTGTCGTTGTTAGTTCATTCAGTAGTCCATAGAGTTTACGTTCCACTGTTGTTCTTTCTGGCCAAAAGGTTTGCCTTAATGTGTCAAAATCGGTGCAGTCCTGGAATACATGCTCTGCGGTCTGGGGCACATTTCCACAGGTGCACATGGCTGATACACCTATCTTGAATTTTGTGTACATGTGGTTACGTAATCGGTTGTGCCCTGTTCTGAGGCGGAAGATAATGACTTGTTCTGGTCTGTCCATAATAAAATAGTTGTCTTGTGCTGGGGCTGGTGGTTTCCTGATCGATTTAATGATTCTTTTCTTTTGGTGGTATGTGACTGGTACATCTGCTGCTCTTTTTCGCACCTTCCCCTGCCAGTTGATCAGCTTTCTCATTTCCAGGCACTCCACAATGAGAAGGTATCCACTGCATTACGACTCTTCGCTGAACGCTGAGTTGTGTCAGCAGTGTTTGCAATTCTGGTAGTTTCCTAGACTGGAGTGCTTCAAGTACTGATTTAGCATCTGTAAGCATTACCACATATTGTGAGCCAAGGTTGGTATTTAGCAGTTTCTCTGTAGCTATCTTAATAGCCTAGGTTTCTGCATCGTAGTTATGGCAGTACTTCCCGGTTGGTACGCTGGACCTATCCCCAGCACCATCTGGGAATTCGATGTACACTCCAGCACCACCATTTCTAACTGCACTTTCTGCGGACCCATCTGTATAGACTCTGACCCATTGTTCCCGTGGGTACTCTTCATCAATATAACTGAGGGTGGCCATTTTGCGTTGTACACTATCTTGCTCTTTCTTGTCAAATATCCCTTTCACATTTGTCTGGATTTGTACCGTTAGTTTACATTTTTCTCTCCATGGGGTTTGTTCCGGAATACTTTTAAGTGGGCAGCCAATCTCCGGAAGGCCAGGAGTCTGTCTACACACTCTCTTCGCTTGGTGTACAAAGACGCCTCTTTTCAACCGTCCCAAGGCCAGGTTCTTAAATCTATTTTCCATCGGGTGATCTGGCATACTGAGGAACTTTTCAGCTTGCATTTGCAACTTTGTATCTCTGCGTTCTCTCAGTGCCTGTGTTTTCCCAGCTTTCTCCATTTCCAACATGGGGGCCGATTTCATCCCTCCCGCGATGACTCCGAGCGCTTGACCTTGCACCCTGTCCAACTCCTTTAAAGTGGCACCAGATGCTGAACACCATGCAGCCGACCCACACTCCAAGTGTGGAAGCATGCTCTGCCTGTATACTTTATTGAGTATTTTCCCATCTGCTCCCCATGTAGTTCCACTTAGTTTTCTTAGTAATGCTGTCTTCCTCCTGGCTTTGGTTGCTGCCTTGTTGACGTTTTCTCCATGTCAACCTGTCATCAAATGTGACTCCTAGGTTTGTGGGCTCTCTATCATCTCTCAGGGGTATTTTGTCTACTTTGACGGTGCCGGCTTTCTGCTTTAGGGAGAGGGTGAACAGTGTGATGCCGACACACCATCCATTGGCCCATGCCTCAAGTGCATCTGTAGCCCGCTGTAGTGCCCCTGTGGCCATCATTGCATGTTCATTGGTGCACCACAGTACCAGGTCGTCGGCATACATTGAAATTTTGATTCCATTTGGTATCTCAGCAACCAGATCGTTGATAAATAAAAGGAAAAGTGTGGGCGACAGGACACCACCCCGAGGGACGCCCTGTCGCAGTAGAACTTTTTTACCCTTAAAACCATCTACCTGTACCCGGGCTCTTCTGTCATGTAGATATGCTCTAATCCAATTGTACATCCCTCCATTCACTTCACAGTTTCTCAATCTCTTCAAAAGCCCCTCCTTCCAAACCCTATCAAAAGCCTTCCCTAAATCCATCCACGCCGCGAGTACCAGCCTCTTATCCCGAAAAGCATCCTCTATTTCCCGGGAGAGGCATGCCGTCTGGTCTTCCGTAGAATAGAACTTTCTAAAGCCCGCCTGCTGTGGTGTAATGTTTTCACTTTCAATGTACCACTGTAGTCTGAGGTTGGTGATGCGCTCCATTGTTTTACAGAGACAACTTGTGAGGCTGATTGGTCTGTAGTTGGAGGCATTAGAATTGTCTTTCCCAGGCTTTATAAGGGGTATCATAATTGCCTCTCTCCAGATCTGTGGAACATTCCCTGTTGCCCAGCAAGCATTAAATATCTGTAAAAGCTTTGTTTTGGCTACTTTTCCTAAATTTCTGATCATTTCGTTTGATATACCATCTGCTCCTGGTGACTTCCGCATTTTCAGCTTTGAAATGGCCAACTCCAGTTCATTAAGTATAATTGGCACCTCTAGCGCCTCTGATGTTATTTCTTTCTGACTTCTAAATTGTGTCTTTTCTTAAATTTCGTGTTTTTTCTCTGAACTGATTTCAATGTCGTTATCTAAAGCAAAAGTGTCTGCAAATAGGTTGGCTGCCTCTTTTCCTGTGACCATGTTTCCATCTTTCTGCAGCGTGATCTTTGAGTTCCACCCTGTGTCCTCATCATTAATTTGTTTCACAAGCTTCCATAACTTTCTTGTGTCTTTTTCAAAGTTCAGCGACCTTGTTTTCTCCTGCCAGCTTTCCCTTCTAACCTGCAGCTTTGCCCTTACAAATTTTGCTTTTGCATGCTGGTAGTTATTGTGATGTTCTTGGTTTGGCCTGGTCTCTGCTATCTTTCTGGATGTTTCTACTTCGTTATGTAAATTTTCTAGCTCATTACTCCAGTATGGCTTATAATGCTTACGGGCACCTCTTGGTATTGATTCTCCTGCTGCCTTTAGTACGCATTTGTTAAATTCTTTAACTACTTTGTTTATATCCTGGTCTACGCTGAGACTTCCAAGCAGTATACTGGTACGGTGCTTGAACATTGTCCAGTCAGCCTCCTTGTAGTTCCACCTTGGCAGCGTACTAGTTTCTCTGACCTTCTCATTTTCTACATTCAGGAAGACTGGTCGATGGTCACTGCCTCCCAGGTAAAAGGTAGTAATATGCTAACACGGTTTTTAAAGGTCTTTGTAAAGAACTGGTCAAAATGTTTACTTCATGCTCAGAAAAAACAGTTCATTTTCAGACTGTGCTGTTGAGTACATGAGTGCTTTGTGTGACACTGGAGTTTCGTTTCTGGTATGGCGATGCAGCTACCTTTATTATTTCAAGGCGAGAAGTTTGAATATAGTATCGGTTTTTATAGCTCAAATCAAACCTCTTACCAGTTCAAACACATGACGACAATGCATTCTACTATTGGATGCTGCAGGGAAGTTAATGTGTTTGTTAGATACTGTGTAATTATTAACTGTGTGATGTTTATGCAACTGGCAATACTTCACAGTTCTTAGCGCCCTTAGCAAAAACAACAATGGGCACCCATGATTATTGTGCACCAATATACACAAGGATCAGAGATATCCAGGACTGAAGATGTCCGATTTCTCATGCAGTGGAGCAAACTAGCTGTTCTGCCTTGAGAGCTTGGTCTAAAACTATGAGTACTTGCACCTACAGGGTGAAAAGGGGCACATGTGTAAAAACTATGGTGGGCCGACATGCCTACTGACCGAATGACTAGAAATCAAAGAGCCAGAGCCCTGAGAGTCAGGCGAAAAATAGAACGTCTGGGATTAAAGCATATTAGAGTGGTTTACTAAAATTGTCATATTGCCAAGCAGAGAGGATCTGTACTGGAGAGACCGATCTATGATTTTGATATCATCATGCTGCATGAGTTAAACATAGATAGATATGAGTGTTCTGGATATATTAGTTATACAAATTCTACCAGACAGGAAAGACACAGGCAATGTCTGCTTGTGAAGAATGGGGTGAAGCATGTGGTTCTTGATATGGGCCAGTGGAGTCATGGTACACTAAGGTTCAGGGTATACAGATAGAAATTTAAAAAGTTCTACTGCGACAAGGCGCCCCTCAAGGTGGTGTCCTCTCGCCCACACTATTCTTTTTAT